ATAGAAACTTTCAATTATTAATTTATTAATGATATTAAGATTTTTGCTTACATACCTATACTTGCTGATATCTTTAACTTGTATTATGTTTTTTATCTACCTCTTTTTGCAACAAGAAGAGACTTCTAATGTATTTTCAATTCATATGTATTAAATGTAAAAATTTAATAAGTTCCTCAGCCAATCAATATTTGCATATCTTGACCAATTGTCAGGAGGGCACTCGGATGTCGCGAGCCGGTCCTGAATAATCATATGTTAGACGAAGATGCAATTCGCCGCCTGTCATCTATCCTTATTCATCACATACGTCACACACGAGAAGAAGAGGAGCGATGTAAAGAGTGTGATGTACGTGTGTACACATACGTATCCCCAAGCTATAGCGTATCGGTAGTGTTCAGCGACCGCGCTGTGTCATATATACGAGGTGGTGTGTAAGGTGTAGAGCACGGTGTAAAGATTGCCGTGTAGGTGAACGCGCGTTATCTTCACTATTATCGCCATGGCCCTGTTCGCGTGGACGTTCCGAGGTAATATCAATCGGTTTCTCACCGACGTGCAGATTTTACAGTGTCTCATCATACTAGTTAGTTTCTTCAATCTTTCTCTGTGCCTGTATGAGGATCAAGTCGGCAAATTCGATTGGTAAATAATGCCCGCCGGAGCAACCTCTAAATAATGCAGGGCCATGCTCTGTTCACTTAGCGGTGCTCTGAAAATTTATGCATGTAACATTTTAACAACGAACCTGATCTATTAATCCCGTCCGTGGATCGTTTCAGGAGACAGAATTATGTCGGCAAAATTAAATTCGCCAGTTTCGACACGGTATCCACAGCGAAAAAGATTATCGTCGCCACTGAAGAAAATGTTATTGCTGCGCTTAATCTAAAATCGGGTGAGTGAAGTATTATTTTACGACTTTTTATATTTTGTACATGCGTTACGTGTATTGTATCCGTAAGAGATGCATTATATCTTACTTGCTTTTTCTTTTCTTAATTTTTTAATTTTTATATCTTTTTCTCTTGTCTATATCAAAATATTACACGATTGATAAATTACAGATCAATATTGCAATCATAAAACAAGTTATTTTATATGTGAAAAGATAACTTATTAAACAGTAATTTATTTTGATCAGATACAGATATATTAATAATTTTACAATATAACAGGTCAAATATTATGGAGGCGAGTATTGGAGAAAGGTTATGGTGGCCGTATTAGAACTCTGGGAGGTGTTGCAGATGGAGATCTTATATCTGTAAGTGGAGGTGTTCCAGCCATTGTTCGTGCCTGGGATTTGGCAACTGGACATATACTTAATGAATGGCCAATAGCTGAACAAAATACTGATAGGTTTGTGGAGAATAAAGTTATTTTTGTAGCAATATTGTTCTTTATTTTGCTTATAGAATAACACATTAACAAGCAATCTACAAATACTATATTAAATATTTATTTTTAAATATTTAAACATGAAGTAATTTTGTTAAATAGAAAAAATATATATAACATTGTTACATTACACAAAATAATATACAGTGTACATCTGCTAAAGCTTTTGAAGCTAAGACATAAAAGATAAAGATAAAAAGTAATTGCTTGAAGATAAAACATAATTCATTGCTTTTACAGACATGAATCTCCATTTATATCGTTTTCTACATTGGGCTTGTATTCTGCTGACAGGTTTCATTTATTTACTTAAAGCACTATTAATATATGTCTGTACACTTAATACTGTACACCTGTATACAAATTCATATTATAAATTGTTACTCAGTCTAGTGCTCTGGATTTTTATTAACATTATTATTACTGTATTAAGTAATATATGCATAGTAGGAAATATAATCTATTATTTTCTCTTTTAGAGAAAATTAAAATTTTATATAATATTGTGTTCACTATATATATGTGTGTGTGTGTGTACATAATACATACATACATACATACATACATACATACATACATACATACATACAAACATACATACATACATACATACATACATATATATATATATATATATATATATATATATATATATATAAAATTGTGTAAAAGTTGTGCTTTGATGTGTCTAATTTCTTTTTGAAGCACACATATTGACAGATTTTATTTTTCAGAATAAAAGATGTAAAATGGCACATCAAAGATGGAACATTGCATCATATATTACCTATTTATAATAGTGGGGTTGAAGTAACATCTTATGATAGCAAAACTGGAGAAAAATTGAAGACTCGAAGAGTCTCTGCACCATTCATAAGTCAAGAGACAGAGTAAGCTCAGGTTTAATTATTCTCTTTTTTACTTTCTATAGGTATTATAGTATTGCTTAAAATTAATTTAACTTGATTTATTTAGATGTGTTTTAGCAGCTCCATATTTGGCATGTTTGAAGGGAGACAGTTCTTTAGCTGTAGTATTCTTAATACATCTATTTGACACCAATGTACAGCCGCAGTCAGTTACAATAAATACAATATTTGGAGCTGGTGCGCAAGGGCCATATAAACTGGAATCTGTATTTGGGGAAGAGCCTGTAATTTCTATTAATGCTGATAACGATCAAAGAAAGCGGATATTGGTTATTGGAGAACCTCCAATTCCTATACAGAGAGATATTGCTGGTGATACAACACTTCATGTTGTTTCTATCAATAATGAAAAAATTCTTTTGGAAACAATATATAAGAACGGAGTAAATACTAAAACATATATCTATTTATTTCCAAAAAAATTTATCAATAGAAATTAAATACAAATATTCTATTTTTTCTAGAGAATAGAAATAATCGCTACAAACCTCTTGTCCTCTGCACCTTTATCTGATTTATCAAGTGTATTTGGTCATGTTTCTATACAATCGCCGACCATAATGGCATCCGTTTGCCTAAATCAAACAAAAAAAATAATGTGTCGTTACTTATTATCCTCGCAAGATCATAGTATTGCGTTATTGCAACAAAACAAAGTGATATGGGCAAGAGAAGAAGCACTTGCCAGTATCGTGGCTGTTGAAATTATAGAGTTGCCTATGTCTGACGGGGAACAAGCTATCGAAACGGAATTTGATCAGAAAGAGAGTGAGTAAAATTACTTGTATTATTATATAAAGAAATGTATAACATTAATTAGGTAAAAGCCATATTTCATCCTCTCTTTTTCTTTCCTTTCCTCTCTTTCTCTCCCCTCTCTCTCTCTCTCTCTCTCTCTCTCTCTCTCTCTCTCTCTCTCTTTAAAATTTCTCTCTTTTATTAAAATTAGTAAAATGTAACATTATATAAACACATTTCTCACAAAAACATATAATTTATGTAACAAACACACATGATATAAACAATTTCTTTTATGAATGAGTAAAACCGTATAATAAGATAACGGTCTGTATTCTGAGTTCTCGTTTAACGATAAATGAGCCTTTAAAAGTGACTCATAGCCAGTCAAAAAGCTTATAAGCCACTTTTAGAGGCTCATTTATCGTTAAAAGAGAACTCAGAATACGGGCCAACGTGTGTATGATTAAGAATATATAACATTAGTATTTTTGTAATATATCTAATGTGTAAAATTGTCTAATTATGCTTTAAACAGATATTATTATTGCAATTTATCTTCTCTTAAGTATTAAAAGTTCTCTTAAGTTTTGTTCATTATTTGAAAAGAAAAAATTATGGGGAGCTTGCTGTTTTAATTAATAACAATTTTGAAAAACGACATCGTTTACTAGCAATTTTCAATTTCCAATAACAATCTACCTGTTAAGTTATATTAATTAACTTTCTTTTGTGAATGGCTGCTGGCAGGTATTGATGTAGACAGTTCATGTAAGTAGTGGAGCAGGAAGGCTGATTTTAATGCAGTACTTTGTCTTATTGCTACTTACAAATCTACATTTGCATGGTGTAGTTTTATGTAAAAATTCCTTGAAATATTAAGAAATGTAGGATGTACATATAGTATATGTGTGTAATTATTTAGCATATACCTTTTAAAGTCTTATAAAAATATTATATTACTATCTTTATGCATGATATCGTAAAATATAAGATATTCAAGCTGAATATTCACCCTTTATTCAATTTAAATATAATAAAATATCTCCAAAGTAAACGATATAATAATTTCATTGATGTGTGTGTGTGAAAGCAAGCTATGTGAAATGCATGAAAAGTTTTATATAATATTTAAACATTGTGTGTGTATACATACATACATACATACACACACACACACACATACATATATATATATACACATGCATACATACGTACATATATATATACACACATACACACATAAAGAGCTTTTACTGAGAAAATTTCATAATGCAATTCAATAGCTTGACGAGTAATACCTGCTGTTTGCTATTATTCCCTGATATTGTCTAATTTTTTATATTATCTTGCTAGTTAAATTATCCAATCCATAGATTTCAATAGAATAATTCTTTTAGTTACATATTCTCTAACTTTGTTATGTTGTTTTTAAACAGGGGACTTGTTAAGTATGGTGTTTAGAAGGATTACTTCTCAGATCAATCAAGCAAGAGTGTTTTTACATACAATACTGGATTTGGTGCCTCAACAATCCAATCAACGTACTGACTTAGTACGAGATCAATTTGGCTTGCATAAAATGATCGTAGCCGTTACATCTGCTGGAAAGGTATGTATATGGAATTAGATTAAAGAGAAAGAGCATCTTTATGAATTATTAATCATTTGTAGTTATACGGTATCGAAACTAGAAAAGGTGAAATTATCTGGCAACTGAGATTACCTAATATCCGAGGTTTCACGAAAATATCTGACACGATGGTCCTGTATGTTCAAAGAGGTAGTAGACATTTTCCTCATCCACCACAATGTGCATTGTTAGCAGAAGACAAGGTATTGTGCACGTTTATATATTTAATAATTATGTATTATTTGCGTGGTTGCTTCATGTTCGATGTTGTCCTCTTATTATAATAGGAAAGTGGGGAAGGTATCATATATACTTTTAACCCAATTATCGGACAGTTGGATGGATTAATAAAACTTGGGTATAGAGTAAAGCAGTCTATGTTACTGCACGTAGCAACCGATGATTTCCTGCGTGGTATCCTTGTTCTTGACGCACGTGATAAAGTTCATGTTTATCCTGACAGTGCAACTGCAGTTGCTGCTACACTAGGAAAAAGTACATACCTTTTTACAGCTGATCAGACAACTGGAATATTATCTGGATTCTCTCTCTCATACAGCACGACTCAGGTTCGCTCTAAAAAAAAAAAAAAAAGA